AACGAAGAAGGAGATGTCTACAAGAGAATTTAGAGGTACAAAAGGCTGCTTCACTTTTTATTTATCTAAGGTTGTCCTCAGTGTGTTTGGGTGGCACAAACAGTTAAGCATTGGACTACTAACAGAATGGTTGGTGGTTTGAACTCACCCAGAGATGCCTCGGAAGAAAGTCCTGGCAATCTGCTTCCAGAAGGTCACAGCCTTGAAAACCCCCAGAGCAGTTCTACTCTGACACACTGGGTTGCCATGAGTTGGAATTGACTCATTGGCAACTGGTTTGGTTTTGGTTGGTCCTCAGTTCACCTCTGGGTATGATTGACCTCTCTGAAAAGGTGATAGTACTTACCTTATCTACCTCTAGAAATTGTGGGAATTTAATGAGGTCTCATCCCTAACGGGGCTTTATAACTCTAAGGTCTATACAGGTAGTGTCCTAATTATTCTCTCGATTATGGCTAGGAACTAGGGAGTTAACATATTCAGAATGTTATGGAGTGAATTTAACATGCATGCATGCATTCCCTTATTCATTAGGTATTTACTGAGCATCTGCTAAATACCTGAGCACTGTGCAATCCCTAGATGAACAGAGAGACAATCTCTACCCTCAAAGGGCAGTCTATGGCAAAAAAAAAAAGATATGAAAATAATCATAACACTAGCATGAAACATTCTATGGTAGAGACAAGCACAGGGGCCTGTGTGGTCACAGAGGAAAGACACAAACCCAAGAAGGGTGGGTGAGGGAGGTGTCAGAAAAAGTGTGTAGGAAGAGATGATTCCCAAGATGAGTAGGAGATAGCAAAGTGCAGGAGGCAGGGGGGCAGGAGATCAGGAATGGAATGAGTGTTTGAGGCAGGCGGAGCCACATGACAATGGCGTGGAATAGGGAAAGGGGGTGGTATGGATTAGATTGTATCCCCCAAAACATGTGTTGGAGTCCTATCTCCTGTACCTGTGGATATAATCCTGTCTGGAATCGGGGCTTTCTTTGTTATGTTATGTTAATTAGATCATATCCTAGTTGGGTGAGCTCTTAATCTAATCACTTCTGAGTTATAAAAAGGGCAGATTAGACACTCACACACACACAGGGAGAAGAGGAAGACAGATGATGGACGGAGACAGGTGCATCTCTAAGGATTGCTGGCCGCTACTTGAGGCTGAAATAGACAAGGGAGGACCTCCCCCTAGAGCCACGCCTGAATTCCGACTTCTAGCCTCCTGAACTGTGAGAAAATAAACTTCTGCTCTTGAAAGCCCCACACTTGTGCTATTTGTGTTATGGCAGCACGAGGTAACTAAGACAGAGGGCTCGACAAGAAGACCTTTGAGGTTTTCCTGTCACCCTTTCCTGATTCCTCTGGTAGAATTAATCCCCACTACTTGTAGCCCTGGTGGCACAGTGCTTAAGAGTTCAGCTGCTAACCAAACGGGCACTAGTTCGAATTCACCAGCTGCTCCTTGGAAACCCTATGGAGCTTTTCTACTCTATCTCGTAGGGTCTCCGTGAGTCAGACTCGACTTGATGGCAACAGGTTTGGTTTTTTTGTTTACTCTTTGCTCTGACTACAGGTTGTGCTAGCTCTAAAGTAATATTACCACATAGTGATGCCTCCTTGTACGTCCATCGTGGATTCAGTGGTGCCCCCCCCCCACCCCAATGCCAAATATTGAAGTCCTGGCCCCTGGCCCCTATTCCTGTGAATATAACAGGATACCTGTTTGGAAATAAGGTTTTTCTTTTGTTATGTTATTGAAATCGTACCAGATTAGGCTAGGTTCTAAACTAGCTCCTTCTGAGAGATATCTTATGGAAAGAGCAGCATAGACCCAGAGATGCACACAGGAGAGAGACAGAGGCCACGTGAAGATCACCTACAAGCAAAGGAGCACCAAGGATCACTGGCAATTACCAGGAACTAGGAAAGAACCCACAGAAAGCATCTGTACTGCCGAGACCCTGATTTGAACTTTTAGCCTCCAGAACTGTGAGAAAATAAATTTTTGTTCTTTAAAGCCACCTGTTTGTGGTATTTCTGCTATGGCACCCCTAGGAAGCTAAGACAGTGTCCATCTCAGCTGCTACTAATAGCATTAATAATTCCCATTGCCATCAAGTCAATTCTGACTCATTGCAACTCCATGTGTTACAGAGTAGAACTTCCCCATAGGGTTTTCTTGGCTGTAATCTTTATGCTGTGCCACTGGGTGGGTTCAAACCACCAACCTTTGGCTTAGCAGTCAAGGGCAAACTGTTTGTGTCACACAGGCACCTCAGTAGTAATAACAGCTAATATTTATTAAGTGCTTACTATGTGCTAGGCACTGTTTTGAATACTTTGTGAATTAACTCATTTACTCCTCTCAAAAACCCTATGAAGTGGCTGAAATGTTAAGCAGCAAATGGATGTGCAGGTTGTGCTCTGTACAAATCCATCTGGCCAAGGGCCACGTGGACACTTAAATCCAGCCTGGGATCTGGCTGCCACCTATGAGACCTGGTGAGGAGCCATGCTAACTAAGAAGAAAGGGTGTCTTTTACTCGCTTGCGCAAAGAAGCCATATGGACTAGCAGTGGGCCTGCCCATATATACCCTTCACTATAGATATTTTCAACAGTTTTTTGTTCCCTGCTTATGTCATGATTCTTCCTACCTCTGCATTTCAAATATTTGGCTTCCTCTGCTTAGGATGCTTTTTCACTCATTCATTAATTTATTTTTTCACTTATTCATACTTTTTTAATTTTAGCATCTAGCATGTGTCAGATATTTTTCTAAGTGATGGTGATTCAGTGGGGGCTTACAGTTTAGGGGAGGAGATGAATATTAATGAAATAATTGTACAAATGTATCAGTATACACTCTGACAAACTGTTTGAAGGCCGTGTCAGGCAGGATACCATGAGACTGTGTGGTGGGGTCAGGAAGCCAGATCTGCTCTGGAAGGCTGATGGCGGTGGTGAGGTGGCGACTGGGCCCATGTGGCTTCCCTTAGGATGTGACCTTTGAGCTGAGATGTGAAGAACAGGTAGGAATTAACCAGGCAAAGAGTGTAGGGAAGGAGAGTGGGCCCCTTTCTGGCAATCCTACGAGATTTAACAGCGCAGTCAAGAATCTTCGGGTCTGAGGAGGTAGGTCTGGGGCCAAGTAGAGGCTCAGCACAATAAAGGCAGAGAAACTGAGGAAAAGGCCGAAATGGAGGAATGGGGAGATGAGGGAGCTCTGAACCATCTAAGGAGGCAGGAGGTTGCAGACCGAGGAGGAGATCTGTGAGAAATTCTCGTAGCAGGCTGGGAAGAGCCCTAAAACATAGGATATTTAATACTCAATTTTAAATTGTGTTTCTGTGGTTTAAAATCCCTCCCTTCACCAAATCTTAAGCATAATCTGTTGCACACATACTCTTTGTGTGAGTGGTTTTGGGAAAAATCAGGGGGAAAAAAGCTGAGTTTCCTGTAAGGATCAATGGGGAACAATGGGAAGAAAGCCAAATGAAGTGAGACACCGTGAGGTCAAAAGGCCCATGGAAACAGGCACTTGGAGGCAGCAGCAACCAGGAGGTATTCATAAAATCAGATGTATTTAGATCTCAAAGAAGTACGATTTTATTTGTACCTAATTAAAATTAGTGATTAGTATAAAATGATGAAAGGCAGCATTAAGGAGGATCTGATGATAGCGAGGGCAGCCGAGACAGGGAGACGGGAGGAAGAGATATTCTCACTTTGTGTCTTTGGCAATGGGATGGGGTTATGATCCCATTCTAGATATCTGACACTCAGCTTTTAAGCTCCAGCTGAATGAGGCTTCTTCTCCCCACCACCAGCCAACTCCCCACGTCACTACCCAGCCAGACACAGTGCAGCGTCTACTAGAACCTCAAAGAATTTATTAATTCAATCAACATTTATCAGACACTTGTTATTTTCTCCGTACAAAGTCATTTGGGATGTGATCTTTGGTCCCCGCCCCTGTGGAGCACTCAGTCTAGAAGGAGAGACAAACACTGTGGTGCAAAGTGAGCAGTGCTGTGACAGAAACGGGCACGGGGGTGTGGGAACAGGAGTGGGACCTTGAATAATCTTGGGAAGCAGGACACTCTTCTTGGAGGAGGGGCACCTAGGTATGGTGTTTCCGATTAGGTGTATGCTTGGCAGACAAAGGGAGAGGGGCAGAGGCCAGATGCAGTGGCTCCTACGTTGTCTGTGTGCCCCTCTGCAGGGTACCCCCTCACCAGCACTTACTCCTAACTACAGAGTAGCACGTCTTGATCTCTCTTTTCAACAAGTCATGTCTTGGCAACTGGTCTCTAAGTTCCTCAGGGGTGTGCAGACTGGGTGCATGTTTGTGTGTGAGAGTTGGAAGAGGCTGGATTTGAGCAGTGCCAAAGAGAGTCCCTTATCCAAGAGCTCCCTGCCAAAAATACCATCTGTCACCATGCTTAAATTCCACCCTGGGCCCCTCACTCCTTTGGGCCTGACAGGCACCATTGTGGAGCTGCAGTAGAAGTACACGGCTCTTCTGGATAGATTCATGCTATAAATAGATGACTAGGGATTGATTAATGCCTGAGAACTAAAATGATAGGGAACTAAAAGAGGAGAATGGGGAAGAGGATATGGGTAAGCAAAAATATACTTGGGTTTTTGCAATTTCTTGTGACTCTATTTTTTTGTATCCTCCACTTTTATAGCCTCAAGACTGCACGTACAATAAAAGCTACTGAATAAACTCAACAAGAGGGTGGAAACAGCGTTTTTGAGGTAGGATGTAAGGCAATGTAATGAAAAGAGCTGGAGTCAGGAGACCCAGTGTGAGTCCCTGCTGTGTGACCCTGAGCAAACCCACGCTCTCTCTGGGCCTCTATTTCTCCACTTGTCAAGGGTGGAGGTTGGATTAGATGCTCTTCAGGGGCTCTTGCAGTCTCAGCATCTGTGGTCTCCAGTTTGAAAAGCAAGGTGGGAGGAGAGTCTCTCTTGTCTCGCTTGCCGTCTGGGCTTGGGCTGTGTTTAATGTGTCTTTGCTGAAGCCAGGCCAAGCCAGGTTCTGGTGTCATGCAAAATAGCCCCAGAGGAAGACATTGATGGTCAGCAAGAGGACGGCATTGATGTTGCAGACACTTCTCCAGAGCGGCTCCTCCTCGATGCTGGTCAGCTTCTGCTCCAACGCAGCCTTCTCCGCCCGGCTCAGAGCCTGCTCCGGGGCCCCAGAGAGCCCACAGAACCAGCCCCAGAGCAGCTTCCCCCAGGACCTGTGTGGGGCTGGAGGGACAAAAGCCAGAGGGGAAGGGGACAGGAGGGGAGAGGCAGGAAGATTTGGGGAAAGGGATGTGGTGAGAGAGTAGTGGAGGGAGAGAGAAGGTGAGAAACCAAAGCCAAGAGATGGGATGTGGATGTTCAGGGAGAGGGAGAGGAGAACAACTGACATGGCCCTTTCTGCAAAGCACAGTCTGGATGCTGAGTTGGCCTCTAGACTGAGCTCTGACCGCAGGCATGGTCTGAGCTCCACCCCGGCCACAGCATCCAGCCATCTAACAGAAGCTTATCATTGTTGTGGGTGAGGATGGGGGTGGTGTGTTAACTAGTGAAGATGATACCAGTAAACCTGGGAGTTGATTCCCACTCAAGGTGACCCCATGTGTGTCAGAGTAGAACTCTGCTCCATACGGTTTTCAATGGTTGGTTTTTTGAAAGTAAATCACCAGGACTTTCTTCCGAGGAGCCTCTGGGTGGACTCAAACCACAACTTTTCAGGTAGCAGCCAAGCACATTAATGGTTTGTATTACCCAGGGATTCCAGGCCCCAAGTGGGACAGAGGGAGACAGCATCATCTCTGCCCAGGAAGGAGGAAGCATTTGAAACAAACAGACTGCTGTACCCACTGATGCAGAGGACATCGGGCTGAAAGCCAGCATACCCACGTTCCAGGCCCAGCTCTGCTGTCAGCTGACTGTTGAGACCGTATGTAAACCCCTCAACTTCTCTGAGCTGCAAGTGCTTCTCTCTCAAAAGGATCAGTGTCATATGCCCTGTTCTTCTCTGGCTTGTTTTGAGCAGAAATGAGAATGGAGATTTGACAGCGCTTTGGAAAGTTATGGTGCTGGAGCAGCGGGGAGAGGTTCTGGCGAATGAAATGTTTTCAGTGTGGGTGAACGAGGCTGCGCCAGTGTAGCACAGGATACTCCCTGGGGCAGAGAACGGCCTCGGTCTCAGGTTAAAAGGCAGTGCTTTGATTTAAAAAAAAAAAGTTTAAAAGAAGTAATAAAGAAAGGAAATATTTTTAAAGTGTCATTCTTGAAACAGCAGACAGCACATTAAAAATCAAGTTAATCTAAGGAAATTTCATTGAGGTTGAAGATAGCACATTGGGAATGCTTTATCTTAATGCTTTGGAACTTGGTACTTGGTAAGTTCAGTGAAACCTCAAGGTGTCAGAGAGGCAAGGACCCTAGATATCACTGAGTCGGCCTCCTTCGTTATAAAGAGGAGAAAAAGGACTCAGACAAGGAAAGGGACTTGCTTGAGGCCACATAGGCAATTAGCCTCAGAGCTGCACTAAGAACAATGATAAGAATTCAGCATCGTGTTTGGGCTAGATTTTATTTTACAAGTTAGTCCAGGCATCCTTCTCTTTTACTTCTCCAGACAACCCTCTGAGGCAGATGAGGCTCAGGATTTCATGTGTGAAGCCAGAGAGCTTAAGTCACTCAAGTAGTTATTAATGAGAATATCTCAATAAATCCATGTGTTGTCATTTGACTAAAACCTGGGATGTATGTACTTCTTATGGATATACTCTATTGTCATTTAACTTTTTAACACTTTTGTTTTTGGGACACAGAAATAAACCACCTGTTTTGTTTTTTGACCCTTGCTTTTTTGTCCTAATACGAACCTTGTTTGTTTTAGGACAAAACAAATAGGTCTATTTCTGCCTATGGGCCTTTTGAGAGAATGTTTATGGATTGGTTTGTGTCCCCAAAAAAGATAGATTGAAGTCCTAACTTGTGGTCTGTTTGCTTGAAATGCGTCCTACCCGTGAATGTGACCTTATTTAGAAATAGGGTCTTTGCAGAAGTAATCAGTTAACATGAGGTCACATTGGAGTAGAAAGGGCCCTCATCCAATGTGAGTGGTATCCTTATAAAATGAGGAGAAGGGACACAGAGACAGAGAGGAAGGCACCCTTGTGAAGACGGACACAGAGATTGTAGTTATGTCTCCATAAGCCAAGGAGTACCTGGGGCTACCAGAAGGAGACAGGGGAGATTTTCCTCTAGAGCTTTGGAAAGAGCCCAACCACACTGACACCCTGAATTCAGACTTCTGGTCTCTAGAACTGTGAGAAGATCCATTTCTATTGTTTTAAACCATCCAGTTTGTGATACGTTGTTACAGCAGCCTTAGGAAAGTAATACAGAGGAAGATGTTCTTCCCTGTTACTGAATTTCCCTTCCGCAGAAAGTAGCTTTTTACATACAACAGCACTGGTGTCTCTCTGACCTTTAACTCCTTCTGGGAGGGGTTGATGGGGGGAATGGTGGTGTCTTAGTTACCTAGTGTTGCCTTAACAACAACAACAAAATACCACCAATGGGTCACTTTAAAGAACAGACATTTATTTTCTCACAGTTCAGGAGGCTAGAAGTCTGAATTCAGGGTGGTGTCTCTAGAGGAAGGTCAGTCTTTGTCTCTTTCAGCTTCTGTTAGCCGCCATGTTTCTAGATGTTCCTGGGCTTGTAGGTGCACCTGTCTCTCCCCGTGTGTCTCTGGGTCTATTCTGCTCTTCTTATAAATACCTCTCAGAAGAGACTAGGTTTAGGACCCATCCCACTCATTAACATAACAAAAGACAACCCCTATTTCCAAGCAGGGTCATATTTACAGGCACAGGGGTTAGGATTTCAACACATATGTTAGTCCATAACTGAGGGGTGTCTTCTCTCACTGGACTTCCTGGTTCTCAGCTGGCTCCTTTGTCTCTTTTGGGAGCAAGCTGTATACAGAGAGGGAGCAGGAATTCCTCTCTGCTTCTCCAGGGGCAGGCCTTGCCCCTTGCGATGGAGAGCAAGTGAAGGAGGGTAAGTTTCTCTAATCCTGGGGTTCAGTTGTGGAAAGTAGAGCTGGCTCCTTCTTCTTTCCCTTTGGGAGTTACCTTCTTAACCTCTTCCCCTTCCTCTTCCCTTCTTGTCTTAGTAGCTGCCTCACCTACAAACAGCTTGTGTTCTGGAATTGCTTTCTTCCATGCCATATGTTTTTTAGGGATCAGAGCCCTGTCTTTGCGATGATGAGGGGAGAAGGAGTTTTGAGACCCCAGCGTTTGGTGTATAGACCACAAACCTTGAGAAAGAGGCAAGGAACAACATCTTGCAAAGCAAAATACACCTGAACTAGTTGGGGTACCTGATGAGACCCGGGAGGATGACTTTGAGCTTTGGTGGCACTTTCTGAAGTAAGCCTATGTGGGTTTTGACCTGGAAAGTTTGTGAAGTATCACATTCCACGTTATAGGTAGCTTTTTACAGTGGACCATTGGCTTTTAACAGCTGCAGCTTGAGCAAGAACCTTTGAGCCTTAGACCATGTGATATTTGGGCCTCGATGGGACTCTGGAGCTTAAGATGTCATTAACTCTAAACAAATGGCTGTTTCTCTAGACTCAGGGTCTTAAGCAAAGGTGAAGGGTCTCAAGAAACGTAGGGGCTTCTCAGACCTCAGGGAAGGCATAGGGCCCCTAGAACTTCAGCAGAAGTGTGGGAACTGAGTGGTTTGGCTCTGCTAGCATACGGATCTAGCAAGCAAATTGATCTCAGGAAAGGGGTGGGCCTATGCAGGCCCAGGCAACCTCAGGGTACAGATGGCAATTTGACATTGAACTATGCCTAGCAAACGGTCAGCAGATGCCACAGAAGCTGAGCAATTACCTGTAGCTGAGGAAAAATTTCATTTAACCAAGAGAGGCATTCTTTTCACAGCCCTTGGAAGAATATATGTAGCTTTTAAAATGCAAACCAGGTAAGATCCACATGTGTATCAGAGCACTCCTACAACAGTTCTGGCTTTCAATGGCTAGTGCCAGCCTGGATATGCAAATTAGAGCAGCCACCCCAAATTCCAGTCCAGGCCAAGGAAGGTACAGTGGGGAAGGTAGACTTAAATTCCTCTAGCCAGTCCACAAGCTCAGGAGTATGTCCCATCGCTATCCTTGGACTCAAGTTGGCTGTAAATTGGTTAATTTCACACAAAGGACACACCTGCTTTAGGAAGTGAGTTCCTTAGACCTAATTCCAGGGCAAGAGGCAATGGAAGCAGTGGGCCACGGAAGTGGAAATGCCTGATCACAGAGTAAGTAGACACTATGGTGCTACATGGGGCTCACAGTTCAGTGACAGGCGGCAGATGCATGGGGGTCAAAACCCAAACCCTTTGCCATCGAGTCGATTTAGACTCATATCAACCCTAGAGGACGGAGTAGAGCTGCCCCATAGGGATTCCAAAGCTGTAATCTTTACAGAAGCAGACTGCCACATCTTTCTCCCATGGAGCGGCTGGTGGGTTTGAACCACCAACCTCTCGGTTAGCAGCCAAACACTTTAATCATTGGGCTACCAGGGATCAAGGGAAGTATAAATTAAAATGTCATCAATGTGGAAAAGAACGACACTTTAGATGAGGCTGGTGGCTGGGGATTTCTCCACTGTAAGTCTCTAAACTTTCATAAAGCAGCAGTGTTTCAGTTGTCACTCTCCAAGGAAGTGACAGCATGCAGACGTAGATTCCTGTTTTCCCTAGATATAGTGAATGCGTCATGCCAAAATTAACCCCTTGCTTAGAGATGTGTCCCATTGAGTTTAAATCCCCAGGTCATGGATTCTGGGACTGGATGTAAACTAACTGGCATCCCAGTAAGCTGAAACCAAGACAACTTTCTCCAAATTCTCCTTCCCTCAGCTATCACTGGATCTCTGTAGTACGAGACGAGTGCTTTGATAACATTTTAACTTGCTGGGATTATTAAATGCTCAGAACACTGGTAGTGTAATGGTTCAGAGCTATGGTTGCTAACCAAAAGGTGGGCAGTTCGAATCCACCAGCTGCACCTTGGAAACCCTAGGAAGCAGTTCTACTCTGGCCTATAGGGTCGCTATGAGTCAGAATCTATTTGACAGCAAGGGGTTTGGTTTTGGTTTTGGCACACCAGAGGCTGGGTATAGAGCAAAGACACTTTCTGAGACCCTGAGGGGACTACGCCTGATCCAAAGGGAGAGAACAGCTGCCAAAGAACCCCAGTTCCATCCAGGCACTGACACCCTCTCTCATTGAGGCAGGAAATAAATTTAGGGTTTAAATGTCATTGAATTTTTAACTCACTAGTGTGAAAGAAATTGATTTTAAACTTTAACCTACAAACTCATTTAATTTTTTTGGACTTTAATTTTTCTTCAGGAATTTCATAACTTGGGAGATTTCTATAATGTTATTATTATATACCATTAGACTATCTTATGGTTGTTATTTAATCTCCCTGCAGAAAGATTATAGCTACAGTATGTCTAAAATAGTTATATTATGTCTAATAATAACTTTTAACCTTAGTATGTGTGGCCTTGGAGTAAATTCAATTAATGTACAATTCTGACCCATTGAAGAGCTTCCAAGAGGCAAAATCTGTATGGGCCATCAGCAGCTCAAGGAGGGTAACCTCAGGAGTGGTGGTTGTTTTGCAGGAAACTCACGAAGACAGACAGAACTATATGTTCCCTGAGGGACATACCTTTGTATTACTATAGGCAGAATTGTTAAGCCTGACAGTAAATAAATAAAAAATAAATAACGTAAAGAAAATTGGGGGGATGGGCAGTGAGGGGGGGCTGTTTTTTCAGGCCCGATGTTCCTTCTGTCCGTCAGTGTAACATCGTTTGCTCTTTCTGCCCTTCTACTCATTCAGCCTGGGGGAGGTAAAGGGACTTCCCTGTTGGCAGACTTGAGAAAGTTAAATGGGGCATACTAGGCTTTCAGGTCCTCCCTCCTTCCTGGCATTGCAAAGCTCACAGGGGGGCAGACCCTCTGCCCTTGTTTAATTCTGCTGGTGACTGCATGGTACCTCTGTCTCATGCTGGAGTTTGGTATTAGGAAGTACACTCCCCCATGGATAGAAAACAAATCTTTTCACCTACACTTTGTAATTAATGAAGGCAATACGTTGACTCTCATCTGCCTCACTCATTTGTCTTATTTCTCAACTAGTTCAGTAGCCTTGCGGGAAGGGGGCCCAGTACATGGTCTGTCCCCATTTCTCCCCGTGACGCTCACTGCCCCTCGACACGCCCTCGCCCTACCTCCAGGCTGCTCCTGGTCCTGGCTGGAGTTCGCCAACACTCCACCTCCTTCAGGGTCCTCCCTGGATGGCCTCTGTGACATCTCTGGGCTGCTCTCACGGGCCTCCTTCTCCAGCTCAGGGTGGGGGCAGTGTCGCGTCCACCACGTCAGGCGAGCCAGCTGGAGTGAAAGAAAACACTGTCTTGAGTCAGTTGCCTTTGGAGAGAAGCCCTGTGGAAAAAGAGGGCCTCATTCATGGGAGGCCATCAGAGCAACAAGGAACAGAGGGCTGGCAGTCAGGAGGTCTGCGTACTAGTCCTGATTGCTCCTTTTTTCTAAAATTAGCCTCCCTGAGCACCCACTCTACACAGGGCTTGTGCTGGGTGCTGGCATACAGATGTAAGTCAGACACAGCCTGACATCATGGAGATCACAGACTAACAAAGGAGAAGCAAGGCTGGACAGAGAGGCAGATGCCCGATAATAAAGGGCTTCGAAGGTCAGGCTGAGGAGCTGATACTTCTATTGTTTTTTTAAAACTTACAGGCCATTGAGAATCACTGCAGACTTTAGACAAAAAAAAAAAAAAAAAAAGGACTATTTCAACTCAATGGCAACAAATTTGTTTTTATAAGCTCTAGGATTTAGAAAGATCTCTCAGAGTGAATTAAACGGATGTTGCAAAATGAGACAGGAAATAATGAGGGCCTGAGGAAGTGGATAGGAGGGAGCAGTCCTGAGGAATGTTAAACCCAAACCAAACGCATTGCTGTTGAGTCAATTCCGAATCATAGTGACCCTATGGGACAGAGTGGAACTGCCTCATAGTGTTTCCAAGGCTATAATCTTTACAGAAGAAGACTGCCAGATCTTTCTCCCTCAGAGCACCTGGGGGATTTGAACTGCTGACCTTTTGGTTAGCAGCTGAGTGCTTAACCACTGCACAACCAGGGCTTCTGTTAAGAAATGTTAAGGAGGTAAAATTTACAGGACATGGTGACTGAATGAGCTAGGTGAGGGAGATGGAAGAAGCTAACACCACTCTCAGGTGTCTGCCTTGGACAATAGGATGATGCAACAGTGCTATTCATAGGGACAGAGGAAGGACTAGGTTTTGGTGCTGATGGGAGTCAGACAGAGAGAAAGAGTGGGAGTGTGCATGTGAGCATGCATGTATGTGCATATGTGCCTGCACACACACACAGAAAAATACGATGATGAGCTTGGAGAGTTTGTAAAACTTCTAAGTATAGACATCCAAGTGAGGAGAAACAAATCTTGTGTCTCCTGGATGGCCTGGTGGCTTTCTCTCTTCTCCCTTTTTGGTGGCTAGCAGAGAAGAAACCAGAAAACAGCAAGTTCTCTGGCTGCTATCAGTGGTATTGGATTCAACCACTGTCTCCTCTTCCAACAGGGTTATTTTCCTGGACAAGCAGCTCCTCTTGTTACATATTTGAACCAGGTGTCTCCCCTGCCCTGCTCCCAACTTCCTACAAATATTACAGCAGCCCCTCTCCTGGGCACTTTCCACTGGACCCATCTGTGCCTGACCCAGGCACGACTCTCTATGGGAACACGAGAGCTCAAGCTGCATCTTTGCTTATAAGTATTTCTCAATAAACCTTACTTTATATTTACACGGTGTGTCACTATGTCTCTTTATGTCACCAGGAGGCATTTAGATTTGATGTTTGCATATTGGGAGAGGGATCTCAGCTGGAGATAGAGAACTCAGTATCATCCTTTTATACACAGGGTTGTTGAATTCATGGGAGTGGATAAGATAGCCCAGAGACAGTGTCAGGTGAGAAGAGTTACAGGCCATAGATGGATTCCTAAGGACCAATGATATTTAAGAGGCAGGAAGAAAAGTCCCTGAAGAAGGCAGAAGAGTGATCAGAAGGATAGGAAAAAAAAATTTGTGAAATAGATCATGGAAGTGAAGAGATGAGAGGTCTTTAGGAAGCAGAAAGTTATCAGTAATGTCTCCCTTGGAAAAACTCATTGCTATTGAGTAGATTCCTACTCATAGCGACCCTACAGGACAAAGTAGAGCTGCCCCATAGGACTTCCAAGGAGCGGCTGGTGAATTAGAACTGTTAACCTTTTGATTAGCAGCCAAACGCTTAACCACTGGGCCACTTAAGATAAAGATAGAGAGGTAACCACTGATTTTAGCAACAGGAAGTTGTTGGTGACCTTGATGAGAACAGTTTCAGTGGAATGGTGGGGACAAGAGCCAGGCGTCAGTGAGCTGAGAAGTCAACAAGAGGTGGGAAGCAGAGGTGGTGACTGCAGACCATTCTTTCCAAGTTTGCTATTGAAGGGAGAAGAGGGGGTAGCAGTAGCTAGAGATGAGCTCAGGATCCAGGAAGGGATTTTAAATTAGGAAAGACTTCAACATGGGGAGTGAAGAAGCAGACAATGGAGGAGAAGTGGGAGATTCCACAATCAGAAGAGATCACTTATGGAGTGTGCCCCTGGAGAAGCCAGCCTCTTTTGACACATCTGTGAATTGGGGATAACATTTGCCATGCTTGTTTGTAGCAGTGAATGAAACCAAGTGTATGAAGTCATTTTACAAACTCTAAGGCACCATCCTGGTAAGGTGTATAATTAATGATTTCCACCCAGTGTTCCAAGGACCAACTTTTGTCATGGGCTCTAATTAAAAAAGGTTTCAAAAGTCTGGGCATCAGTATTCAAGGACTGGTGACTTAGTCAGGAGGGAGAGGCGAGGATTTTGGATTGAGCTCTTAATCTGGTGGACTTCCTGTCTCTTCTCTCATATACTTGCTTTTTGACCATTCAACAAATCCCTACTCATTCCTCAAGGTCCAACACAAGATGACCTTTTTGGTAAAATGTCCCATCTCCACCCCCAGGTGAGGACTTCATCTGTGTCTATGCTTGTCTCTCCCTGTGAGCGTGGTTATGCACTTTCCTCTTTGTGTAGAAATCGTCTGTGTCTGTTTCCCCCTGTGGACAGTCAATGGCAGGGACCATTCATCTTTGCAACTTCTGCATAGTACATAGTAGGTGCTCACTGAGTAATTTTGAATGGAATGAATCGCCTTTCACTTGGGAATTAATAACACAGTGAGCCCTCCCTCCCCCATCCCAGGACATTTGTATGGCAACAGGGGAGACCATATCACGATGGCATAAAACTCAATGGTGAAATTGCAGGCACTAGGGTTGGGGAGGGATTTCTTTGGGGCCTCATTGTGGGCAATCCACTTGCCTTTTCCTCAGGGATGGGAGTTGTACAGAAGCTGACAGTGATGATGACGATGGCAGTGAGCCCACAGAGGAGGAGGGCGAAGTAGAGGTAGTGGAAGTCCTTGAGCACAGCCGGCCTCTGGTCCACCTCCCCACAGGCTGGGGCTGGGTAGGAGAACTCCAGGATCATGCGCAGAAGCCCCACTCCCAGGCCAAACATGAGGCCCCAGAAGGCTCCCTATGAAGAGAGGCAAGGTGAGAACCAGGGGGAGACCCTAGGAAGCAAAAGCCACTCTATCCCCAAATATCCCTCCCACTGGCTGAGTACAGTGTTTGGTGAGTCTGTCCTAGTGAGTTCTCCATAAGGACTGAGGCTTTGTGCTGACTCAAAGGCAGGCAGTGTGGTATATTGAAAAGGCAGGGGCTCCAGAGTCAGACAGAGTAGGATTTGAACGCTGCCTCCATTTGGTGATAACTCTGAATCAGTTGCTCAGCCTCACTGACTTGGAGTTACCCATGAGCTAGATGGTAATTATAAGACAAATTAATAAGCACTTAGTAATAAATGCTTAATATTCAACTAGAATTGAATAAAATTTTATAATAAACAAAGAACACCAGAATCCCCCTTCCTAACTTTCAGTTTTTATAAGTCAGAAATTAGAACAGAGATCTCCCTTTTGTTTCTTCTGGGTGTTTTTTCCCGCCATTTGCCTGCCTGCTTTCATCTACCTACCTACCTACCTACCTACCTACCTATCTATCAAAGCTCTGGTACCTCCCTCATCTATCTTCTCTATAGCTTCTTTTGGTCTTACCCTATACCTGTTCCCAGTATGTAAGACTCAGGGGACTTATATTTTCAAAAATGAGATGCTGATCCAGATTCCAAAAACTCTGGAATGAGCAGCAACATCCAGAATTCAACTGGGTCCTACTGTGCACCATGGTTATCAGCAAGATTGTTATTGTTGTTAGGTATGTTGAGGCGATTTTCTGCTAAGAGTGATCCCCATGTGACAGAGTAGAACTGCCCCATACGGTTTCCTAGGCTGTAATCTTTTTTTTTTTTCCTGTGCTTTAAGTGAAAGTTTACAATTAAAGTTATTTTCTCATACAAAAATTTATACACACATTGTTATGTGATCCTAGTTGCTCTCACTATACAGTGACAGCACACTCCTCCTTTCCACCCTGGATTTCCTGTGTCCATTCAACCAGCTTCTGTCCCTTTTTGCCTTCTCTTCTCATCTCTGACAGGAGCTGCCTACTTAGCCTCATGTATCTACTTGAGTGAAGAAGCATTCTCTTCACGAGTATCATTTTATGTCCCATAGTCCAGTCTAATCTTTGTCTGAAGAGTTGGCTTCAGAAATGGTTTCATTTCTGGGCTAACAGAGTCTGAGGGCCATGTCTTCCAGGGCCCCTCCAGTCTCAGTCAGACCATTAAGTCTAGTCTTTTTACTAGAATTTGATTTCCGCACCCTCCTTTTCTCCTGCTTCGTCAGGAACTCTCTGCTGTATTCCCGGTCAGGGCAGTCATTGGTGGTGGCTGGGCACCATCTATTTCTTCTGGTCTCAGGCTGATGGAGTCTCTGGTTTACGTGGTCCTTTCTATCTCTTGGGCTAATGCTTTCCTTGTGTCTTTGGTGTTCTTCATTCTCTTTTGCTCCAGGTGGGTTGGGACAAATTGATGCATTTTAGATGGTCACTTGCTAGCTTTTGAGACCCCAGACACCACTCACCAAAGTGGGGTGCAGAACATTTTCTTAATAAACTTTGTTATACCAGTTAACCTAGATGTCCCCTGAAACCATGGTTCCCCAAACCCCCACCCCTGCTATTCTGTCCCTCGAAGTGTTTGGTTGTATTCAGAAACTTCTTAGCTTTTGGTTTAGTCCAGTTGTGCTGACTTCCCCTGTAGTGTGTGTTCTCCTTCCCTTCATCTAAGATAATTCTTGTCTACTATCTAGTTAGTGAATACCCATCTCCCTCCCTCCCCACCCTCGTAACCATCAAAGAATGTTTTCTTCTGTGTTTAAACCTTTTCTTGAGTTCTTATAATAGTGGTCTCATACAATATTTGTCCTTTTGTGACTGACTAAATTCACTCAATCCTAGGCTGTAATCTTTACAGAAGCAGATTGCCAGGTCTTTCTCCTGTGGAACCACTGGGTGGGTTTGAACTGACAACCTTTTGGTTAAAAGCTGAGCATTTAACCATTGTGATTGTGCCACCAGGGCTCCTATCAGCAAGATTTAAAAAAAAAAAAGAGAAAAACCCATTGCCATCGAGTCCATTCCGACTCATAGTGACTCTATAAGACAGAGTAGAACTGCCCCATAGGGTTTCCAAGGGGCTGCTGGTGGATTTGAACTGCCAACCTTTTGGTTAGCACCTGAACGTTTTAACCACCATGCCACCAGGGCTCCTCAACAACATGAGACCTCTGCAAATAGTAGACACCAGTAGACACCATGCTTAGGTATGCTGTGAGAGAGGAGTCTCTGTGATCTCCTTTGTGATGACCTTGAGCTCTCACATTACTCTTGTGGAGTCTTGTCCACAGAGTCCATTTACTCCTCAATATGTTGATGTTAGGCGCCATCGAGTCTGTTCCAACTCATAGTGACCCTACGTACAACAGAATAAAACATTGCCTGGTCCTGCACCATCCTCACAAATCATCACTGTGCTTGAGCTCATTGTTGCAGCCACTGTGTCAATGCATCTCTTTGAGGGTCTTCCTCTTTTTCGCTGACCCTCTACTTTACCAAGTGTGATGTCCTTCTCCAGGGAGTGGTCCTTCCTGGTAACATGTCCAAAGTACATGAGATGAAGTCTCATCATCCCTGCTTCTACAGAGCATTCTGGTTGTACTTCTTCCAAGACAGATTTGTTCATTCTTCTGGCAGTCCATAGTGTATTAAATATTCTTCACCAACACCACAATTCAAAGACATCAATTCTTCTCTGGTCTTCCTTATTTACTGTCCAGCTTTCACATGCATATGAGGAGACTGAAAATACCATGGCTTGGGTCAGGCGCAGCTTAGTCCTTAAGGTGACATCTTTGCTTTTTAACACTTTAAAGAGGTCTTTTGCAGCAGATGGGCCCAGTGCAAACGACTTTTGATTTCTTGACTGCTGCTTCCAAGGGTGTTGATTGTGGACCCGAGTAAGATGAAATCCTTGACAACTTCAACTTGTTTGTTGTACTGTGATGGCTTGTGTGTTGCTGCTGTGATGCTGGAAACTATACCACTGGTATTTCAAATACCAACAGGATCACCCATGGTGGACAGGTTTCAGTGGAACTTCCAGACTAAGCCAGTCTAGGAAGAAGACCCTGGCGATTTACCTCCAAAAAAAAAAAATTGGTTAATGGAAACCTTATGGATAGGAGCAGAACAGCAGATTTAGGCCTATCTTTTCTAGTCTACTTGAGTAGTAGCCAAGGTTATAGTTCTGGTGCCTCTAGCTTCCTCCCAGGCTTCTTGCTGGGCTGCAGTAAAGTTACCTGATGTGTGTGCAGGCTCCCTGTGTTGCATACTCTGTCTTCATTGTTGCTGTCATTGCTTTTGTTTTACTTAGATGTAGACCCTTATAGTGTTAGAGATGGAACGGATCCTAGAGGTCTTCCACTTTGTTTTGGGTCTTCAAACACACTATTCCTCATATCTGGAATATCTCCCCCCCACCTCATTAATCCTTCAAGTCTCAGCTCAGATGTCACTGCATTCAGGAAGGCTTCCCTGACCCTTCCCAGGTATCCCATAGGTTAGGTGCTCCTGCTATTTTTTCTCATAGCAGCCATTATACTTTATTATTATTGCTTATTTAATATCTTTCTTCCCTACCAGCCACTGATGCCAGGTCTATGTTAACCTTGTAAACCATTGTATCCCCAGAGCCTCCAAAATAGGATTGAGCTATGTTTGTTGAGCGAATAAATCATCTATTCCCGGTGCTAAGTTTGGGGAGATGGAAGCTTAGAGGAGGAAGTTAGTTTGCCTAAGGTCACACAGACCAAGTTATTGACAAATCAGGTCCCCTAGCCCTCTGCTGTACTGGGAGAGATGGATGTGATGCTGTACTCACAGGTTCTGTGACCCTCTTGCAGAAGATGGCCAGTAGGAAGAGGGCGGTGATGGGTGGGGCCAGGTAGCTGGTGACAGACTGGATGTAGTCAAAGAGCTGCCCACTGTTAGAGCTTTGGATGATGGGGATCCAGAGGATGCTGACGACGACCAGGAACACCACAAATACTCTACCAGGAAGGGCACAAGGCTCTGTGAGGAGCAGTTAGGTTGGCATGGCATGGGATGGGTGAAGGTGACACACAGAGCACCAGGAGGGATGGGGAGGGAAAATGCACAGTCACTGAATCAGAGACTCTTAGGAGGTCGGAATCCCAAGTGCTATGACTTCAGAAGTTTAGACAGTCAAAATCCCAGAATATCAGAGTCCAAAAACCCAGAACTCCAAGACCTCAGCATTTTTGAACTGGAATCTCTCGAGATCACGCAATCCACCTGTTCTTCAGGGGATGTTATGGATTGACTTGTGTCCCCACAAAATGTGTGTCAACTTGGCTAGGCCATGATTCCTGGTATTGTGTGGTTGTCCACCATTTTGTGATCTGATGTAATTTTACTATGTGTTGTAAATTCTATCTCTATGATGTTAATAAGTCAGGATTAGAAACAGTTATGTTAATGAGGCAGGACTTGATCTACAAGATTAGGTTGTATCTTGAGTCAATCTCTTTTGAGATATAAAACAGACAATTCAGCAGAGAGGAAAGGGACCGCCTACCACTAAGAAAGTAGAGCAGGGAGCAGAGTGTGTCCTTTGGACACAGAGTTCCTAAGCTAAGAAGCTCCTAGACCAGGGGAAAATTGACGACAAGGACCTTCCCCCAGAACTGACAGAGAGAAAGTCTTCCCCTGGATCTGGCACCCTTGTAGCCTCCTAAACTGTGAGAGAATAAATTTATCTTTGTTAAAGCCATCCACTTGTCCTATTTTTGATATGGCAGCACTAGACAACTAAGACAGTGGAGGAGTCCATACCTTCTACCTCCCCCTCAGTAAACAGCCTTCTGATCATTTCTTGGAAATGTCTTTCCTCCTCATTAGTGTCCAAACCCTGACCAGGACAACCCCCTTCTCTAGGATGGCTCCAGCCTCCAGGTTCTTCTCCTTCCTCTGGGCTCCTCTAGCTCTGAACCTTTATCCCTTGCTTTGGCATTGGGATCAGGGCAGGAAATCCACCTTCCCCAACTCCTGACTCCTATTCAACTGATCCTGGCTCATGCCTAAGTTCCCAAAGCTCTCTCTCTCTGTGTTTTTGCAGGTGTGTGAACAAGATGAACAAAAACTCTTCTTGGCTGTGTTGGGCACAAAAATGCATGTGGACAGTAGATGGCGCCCAAACCCCAGTGATGGGTGAAAGAAACGGCTGCAAAACAGAGATAAAAGGACACTTCTTTACACCTGTTGTCTCCTCTCCTCCTCTTCCCTCTGCTGGGCTCCATTGAGAGCAGCAGCTACCCAAGCGGCCTCCCTGCTGCTCATCGCTCCCTCTTTGTACAACCATTGCCGTATTTATGCCCTGCTACGGTCAGCCCCTGTGGATGTGGCTGGGAACGCACAGACGAGCAGCCAGAAGGAATTCATTGGGCAGACGTGGGTAGAAGGCATCCTGGTGGAAGGAAGAGTAAGTGCAAAGACAGGGAGATGTAAAAGAACAAGATAGCTGAACTCAATTACGCACCTAGCAAGGGGGAGGAGGGAGAACAGCACTTTAGTCCAGAAATCTTGGTTATAGAGCCTTCAATCATGGGGTAAAGATTTCAGAAAGGGCCTCTTAACCCTATGTTAGTTACAAACCCCCCAGCCTATGGGGAAAAAGAAGAATTAACCACCAAGTTATATTTTCAAAAGCATAACACTGATAACCACAAGATAAAGCTAAAATTCTTTAGCTTGGTGTTCAAGGCTTTGCATCATTTGGAGACAACCTCCTATGACTATCTCCATCAATGCGGGTACCTCACTGTATTACTTGTGAACACCCTGAGGGCAGGGCCACACGACTTATCCTTGTCCCTGGAATAAGAATACAATGCAGGGAGGATGCTCAGGGTGAGTCTGATGCGTTACGTTAATAACACTTCTGTTATCCTGGCTGACTGCTTGAGTTGTCTGAAAGACCTTGGAAATGAGCTGCTTGCTAACCTCCTTCCCACTTCATTTCTTAAGTGCTTTCTCATTCTCATTCATTCACCCCCATGACCAGTCCCAAGAGGAAGTTAAACAGGCAGGGAAGGGCCTTTTCTCCCCGTTTTTCTGGAGGAATAAGGGTGGTCAAGAGTTGGGGAAAGACTTACCTGAGGTCACATGGAAAAGTGGCTCCCTGACTGCCAGCCCAGGAACCAGACAAGCCACATCCCCTCCAGGGAAACCCAGGGCAGGCAGGAGATGGGAAAAAGGAAAGGAGAGAGGGGAGCTCTGCCTACAGGGAGAGGGGTCATTCTACAAGGATGGGCCAGCGCACCTGCCCACCACCATCAGCTCCTGCTCTGTGGCCTTCCTGCGGAAGCGCTGCCAGATGTCAATGGCAAACAGGGTGCTGCTACTGTTGAAGATGGAGGTGAGTGAGCTCATGAGGGCAGCCATGATCACGGCGATCATCAGGCCCCGCAGACCTGGGGAGAGACAAGTTATGTGTGAACTGCTGGCCCATTAAGGCCATTCTTCCGGGGCCCATGGAGGCTGCAGCATCAAGCAGAGTTAGGAGTTTGGTGGTGGAGGTAGGATGGGGAAGATGGGATGGGGATGAGGTTCCCATCCGGGACAGATTAAGGAATCCAGGAGATCCACGAATTAGGGGCAAGAGGCCTGGGTCTGGCCAAGCTCTGCCTCTGTCTTTAGGGCCTTGGGTGAGTCATCTACTTTCCCTGAGCCTTGGTTTCCTCATCTATACCATTAAGGTGTGTGAGACTGGGTGGTCTTCAAGGTTCTCTGCAGCTCTGACATCTCAGTCTGGTCTCAAGTTGTAGATGCTCTGGGTTTGGGTCCTTGGGCAAGGGGCAATTGGTAATAATTTGAGTGTTTTGAACCTTCTCCATTGACACTGTGGTACAGGACAAAGCCCTGGCCTGGGAGGTAGGAGCCTTGAGTTTGTTTCCTGGCTCTGCAATAACTATCTTAATGATCTTGGGCTGGTTTCTTTCTGGGCCTATTTTTTCACCTGTCATAAGAGAGGGTAGGGCCTACTGATCTCTGTAGGCCCCATGTCCCTAATGACAAGGCTTCTAGAAATTTGACCATTCACTCACTCCTGGGGAGATAAGTTCCAGTCCTGTCCCAGCTCAGTCCTCTTCCCCTCCAGATTTGTGTATTTAACTACTTCCTGGATGTCTCCCCGACTCATAAGAGCCTTGGACTCAAGATGTCCCAAACTGAGGCCATGATTTTCCTCTGGGGCCTTCAGCTTCCCTCTTTGGTCAATAATATCTTTCTAGTCTCCCATACCAGACACCTCAAAGTTATCTTAGACCCCTTCCTCTTCTCTCCTCTCCCCACCACCATCAATCATTCCCTCTGTGACTCTCCATTACCCTCAGAGTAAAGGCTGCACTGCTGAAGGAGGCTTGGCCATGACATCCTCTGAACGGGAGGTTGTCTTTAGTCCCTCTTCTTCAGAAATCAAAATGGAGGTACTTCAGGTGCCTCCTTAGGGCTGCCTTAGCCCCCAATGTGTCACCACATTGGTTACATGGTATTGTACCTTCGTGAGTCTGTGGGCCCTGGAGACAGCACAAGTCCTGAGAGCAGAGCCTGCCTTTTATCTCTGCATCTCCAGGACTAGGACACAGAGAAGGGACCTTACAGATGCTCATGAACAGCAGTGGTGGTGGTGGTGTATATGTGTTTGTGTGTGTTGCCACAATGTGGAGGTGAATATTTTTCTTCCCTCTTCCTGTCCATTCTTAGTGCCCTGGGCAGTGGGGATTAGAGGAGGCTGGGAGTTGGGAGTGCCGGCTGGGGTGGGGGAGATGGGGACTCACCAGTGGGCATGAGAGCCATGACCAGCTTGGGGTAGGCGATGTTGGAGCATCCCACTCGGGCCCCACAGATCCTCTGGCAGATGTCAGGGTCCACGCAGCCTACCTCATCTGCAGAAAAAGTGATGGTGGTTAGAACTGTGTGATCTGGGGCCTGGCTTGCACCTTCCCTGGTTGGCCCAATATTTGCTTTCTGACACTATAGGAAGGTGTTCATTGGTGACTCTGGTGGGACAAGTATCTAGGGGATTGGGGGCAGATGGGTGTGTGGGTATTATGACTTAGCTGTGTCTGATAAGTTTCTTGCCTGTGCTGCTATCCTGACAAGGCTGACATGCTCCTTTGGGCTTTAGTCTTATGCCTTTATAAAAGGCAAATATCCTTGTAAGTTGACAAGAATGCCTTAATTGGTCTTTCGTTTATAAGAAAGGAAGCTGGATTTTAAAATAGCATTCAGCTACAAATTTCTTCTACTAAAATACTTAAACATTTGGCCTGCAAAGCCTAACATACTTACAATCTGTTCTTAACTGAAAAAGTTTGCTGACTTCCACTCTAGTCCAGCATTGCCCAGGAGCCTCTTCTCTGGAAGCCCCTTGAAAGCCACATCCCAGTACCCAAAGTGGGAGACGAGCCCTTACCTGGGTACAGGGCCCGGCTGATCATGCCAGGCATGACAATGAAGAACATGGGGAGGATCTTCAGGTAGCCCCCCAGCACAGAGCCTCCCTTGGCATGGGACAGACTCTTGGCAGAGAGAGACCTTTGCACGATGACCTGAAACAGCAGCAGCAGAGGCCAGTCACTTGGGCCAGGGAAGGCTCAACTCAGACACAGGTGAGCCCTGACACAGGTCACAGACTGTGCCCCTCCACCACTCCTAAAGTTAGTCCCCATCTTTTATTCTTCTGGGTGCCTTGTTTTCCTGCAGGTAACCACCCACTTTGTGGTAGGCTAAGCCAAGCCTGGGGGCATTACCTGATCTGTGCACCAGCACCAGGTGGCCAGCACCGTAAGCCCGAAAATGAGGCCTGGCCATGGGATGTCCCCACTCACAGGGTCCCGGAGCAGGTGGAAGGCTTCGGGCTGTGGGAAGTGACAGGTGGTGTTGGGGACTGTGACATTAGGGATAGCCTGCCTGTATAGCTGCTCCAGGCCTGGGTACCAGCCCACCTTCTGAAACCCTGTGAGGAGAGACCACAGTGAGTGAAACAGCCTCGAGACCCAGCTGAGACTGTCACTCAACCCACCCAGCCCCCAGTCCCATGCAAGGACCCCGGGGCTTGGAACTGGTGTAGGACATGGGGAAGGGAAGGGAGATAGGGCTTAGACCTGAGATCTCTGGTTTGGTGTAGAGGGAGTCCTGCTCTTAAGGAACACTAGCCTGGAGGGGGACATGACTCTATGCTCTGGGAAGTTCCAGTCAAGCCATGGTGGTGACAGCCAAAGAGAAGTTAGAGAGGTGGAGGTGTATTAGGCATCTTCCTTACCCAGGAACATGAGGACCAGGGCTCCTCCCACCATGATCACCGTCTGCAGAGCATCTGTGTAGATCACTGCTGTGAGGCCACCTGGGGACCCAAAGACAAGGTTTGTCAGTCAACACCAATAGGGGGCTTCTCTCTGGGCACCTGCCCTGTGTTTGGCCACACTGGGGAGACCAGAGAAGACACATAGCCCTCTTAGGAGGTAGACTCTGGACACCTGCGGTCCCAGCACCCATTGCCTGACCCCTCTTGCCCCACCCTGGCAGGATGGAGGGCTGGTCACAGTTAAAGGTACTCAGGTCTTACACTTTCTATCCCTGCAGGTCTGTGGCTCTTTATATATATTATCTCAAGTCCATTTCATTGCCTGTGCCATTAGCAGTACTAGGAGTGATCTCTCCTTTCTCCTCCCAACACCCATCTAAATATGCCCATCTTTCAGGGCCGACTTTAACCATCAGTATGTCTGCCCCAAGCCTGTCTCCCAGTGCACCCAGCCCTGTGTGAGGAGTGCTGGAGGAGACAGGAGAAGGCGAGCTATGGCTTTCCCTGGAGCACCTCACAGTTACTCTAGTCCAGTTACTAGTCCCCTCATCTCCATCGTACTCCATGTTGCAGTTGGTCCTTTTCAGTGTCTCTTAGTGCCTCTCCTTCCCTGACTCTCTGCCTCTGTTTCTTCTTATTTCTGACCTTTCGTTCTTCCTTTGTCTCTGTGACACTATGCCTTTCAGTCTTTTCCTCTTATTCTACACTTCTATCTCTATTTCTCTTTCTCTGTTTCTTCTGTTTTTCATCTTCTCTCTCAGGATCAATTTTCTCTGTCTCTCTGCTCCTGTCTCTGTACTTCTTTCTCCTTCAGTCTGTCTCTCTGTGTCTCTGAAAGTTAGTAAGCTTCCCTCTCTAACTCTCCCTGGCTCTCCATCTGTATTTCTCAGTGCCTGCACCTTCATGTGACCCTCCCTTGGCTCTACCTGCAATGGTGTAGACAGCCGTCACCACCAGCAGGATCACTGTGGAAAGATAAAGGTTCCAGCCCAAGGCCATCTGGATGAAGAGTGCTCCAGAGAAGATGTCAGTCTGCAGAGAACCAGAAGCCAGGAGTCATGGTCACTCAAGGACCTTGATGTGGCCACCATGGGTATGCCATCTACTTGCTCAGCTCGCCCAGTGCCCTCAGCCCTTACCACACAATGAAAGTGAGCTTCAAGAGCCATGCTAAGGAGTATGGGCTTGATCTTGCAGACACAGAAGAACCATAGAGACTTTAAGCTGATGCATACTGCATAAAGATCCAAAATTGAGAATAATTTTATAAGGTAGCACTGATAAGATAGACTATGGGCTATGAAAGGTGGTGAAGGAATGTAATGAAAGACTGAGCAAATGAAAGGGAAAACTGAGATTGGGGAAGAGGCCATTTGGGAGGAGACAGTAGGAACCCAGAGGGTCCCTAAGTGCTCCCCAACAGAGTTGTGGACCCCCACTCAGCTGCCAGATGGGCCCACAACTGACCTAATGAGGCAGGAGTCCTGGTATAGATAACCACAGGTTCTAGCTAATCCATATGTTTGGATTTATTAGAGGACTTCGGGGCACATCCTCAGTCTAAACTGACTTAGGGTTGTTCTCAAGCATTGGTGGAACAAGAGGCTTTAAAGTGTTTTACAACCTTAGAGCTGGTAAGTGAATAACTCAGTTACATTGAGTGTTAGATGATACCATTCCATGATTGTTTATGAACCCATTACAGGGTCTGCAACATGATAGAGTGGAAGGAGACCTAAATGGCTTAGGAGACCTGAACTTTAGTTCCAGTCCCAGAGCTAGCACTCTGTGTGAACTTGGGGCAATCATTTGACCTCTGTAGGTTCCCCCCCACCCCCGCCCCAGTTTAGGTCAAAAAAGAAGAAGAAAGACCCTTCTAACCCTAACATTCTAGGCAATTAATACGTGATTACTGAATGAAGAATCAATTAAAAGATAAAGATAAATTAATGAAGAATGAACTATAGATTGTGAATTCTTAGGAGGTAGGGTTTATCATTCACTCAGCAAATGTTTAGCAACCATATCTGATTCCTCTGCTTCTGAGGTGAAGTGTATCTTGGATACATGTGGATGCATACCTGTATGAAGGAGTAAAATCATCCATCCATCCATCCATCTTTCCATCCATCCTTCCATTCATCCTTTCTTCCATCCAATCTGTGACTATCAGTTCCCTCTCAGTGACCAGTCCATGGTAGTGCCCTCAGCATTTTCCTAATTAGCATTTTCAGAGAAACGTCACGGCCACACTGCAGTAGGTACCCACCGATATCTTGGTGAAGATGTAGAGGATGAGAGACAGGACAGACATGTACACCTGGATCCTCTGTCCCCCAAATCGCTTCTTCAGGTACTGCGGCATTGTGACCACACCAGCTGCGATGTATACAGGGACGAAAATCCAGCCAAGGGCCAGGAGCAGCCAGGTTGCCTGGGAGAATGGGGAAAAGAAGGTATCCAAGTCCTAAATGCAGATGGAGGGGCAGTTCCCTCTCAGAGACAGCGCTGTGCTGTGGGAGAGCCCTGAGCAGGGAGATAAGGTACACGAGACCTGATTTCAATCTTCCTGTTAGTAATTGTGTGACCACTGACAAGTCCCTCTCCCTTCTCCAGACCTTGGCTTCCTCATCTGCAAAATGGATTCTTAATTCGCCATTCAGCCTCTCAAGCATCTCTGAGTTTCCTCCCAGTGTTAAGGCCAAGGATGAGGGTGGGTGGGGTAGGCTCAGATCCCCTTATCCCCAATCAGCCTCCAGGCCAGCTTCTTACGTTCCACTCGAAGCCACCCACAGCAAGGCCTCCAGCAGCCCCCGTCCCAGCCAGGCCAATAAACAAGCCGCTGCCCACATTGCTGGACATCAGAGAAGCTCCAATCTGCAAGGCACAAATGCAGTGAAGGGTCAGTGGTCAGGAGAATATAAATCAAGCTGGAATCAGGACCAAGGGCTTCAGGAGCTGGGAAGGAGGCAGAGAGAGCAGGATCTGGACTTAGGAAATCTGAGGTCAGAGTGGGGAGACGAAAGAGGAGCAATGAGGAGGAGTGAAGGAACTGGTATTTATTGGGTACCTGTTATGTGTCAGGCACTGTGCTGGGCACTTTATATGCAGTCATGCATTGAAGCAGCGAGGCACCTCCTCTCCTACCCAACCCAGAGTTCCCAGCTCATGACTCGAGGAAACATGAGATATTTGGAAAGGGGAGTGGAAAGGGATGGGTGGCCAATTAGGGAAGGGTGCAAAGATATCGGACTGTCATGCAGACAGACACACAGACATACAAGTTCTGATTCTGGCCCCAGACTGAACCCTGATCTCAGGTGCAGGAGACACAGCTCACAGCCCCTGTATATCTGAGAATTGGCACCAGCATCCTCTCTTTCGCATAGGTGCACATCTCCACACCTTCGCGCTGTCTTTTGGGCACAGCCCGGAACCCTGGGAGAGTCAGCCAGAGCACTCGCCTTATGCTCAGGTTTTCCCTCTGCCCTCTGTGAGATACAGAGTTCTGCTCTCTACATTCATCCAGGGCCCCTTGCCATTCCCCCAATGGACCAGAGTTGATGTGCTCTGTCCTGCTTCTTTTCCCTCCCAATGACTCAGTTCTAGGGTTGTAATTTTGGGTGGGTGCCTGCTGAGCAAAATGTCTTCCAAGGGTTTGTGTTTTTTCTTTTGACAAGGGCGTGTCTGGCAGTACCAGCCCTATGAACTGCTTGCATCCCTGGGGATTCCATCATGCTGAACAGCATGAGAGTTCCTTGCTCCCACTCTTCCTGTCCCAGATGCCTGAACTTTCCAGAAAGCTCTGCAGGCCTCCTGGGTTTCCTCTACTCTTTAGTGAATCTATAACCAGTGGGCAGAAAAGGCAGTGAGAACCAAGAAAGGGATGGAAAGAAATGGGAGATTGTTGTTGCTCTGTGTGTGTATACATGTGTCACATATATGAGTTTGTATGACAGCTTCTGCTCATTGAGGGCTGATAGTTCCCCTACTTGTTTCCCAGGTGAGGCTTACCTCACCCCAGCACATATCAGGAAGGATAGGTTAGTTTTGAAGACCAAGAGAAACATGTGAGGTAGCAGATGGGAGAAAGTGGGATTCACAAAGATCTTGTGGATCAATTCCTTAAGGTTGTTGGGGATTTTACCTCTATAGTTCCCTTCACTTAACTGTTCTTCAAATTTAAGCTTATGTGTCACCCTCCAAGAAAATCTTTCCTAGCCCATCTTCCCACAGGCCCCACTGTCTGGGACTCGGGGGCTTCCTCCAAGCTCTCACAAGGCCCTGTGCTTCCCTCTAGCTCAACACTGATGATGTTGCTTATGAGTCAGCTGTGAGCTTTCCTAGGACAGGGACATTCTAGATTCATCTCTGTAGGCCCAGTGCCCAATATAGGGCCTACACTTAGGAGGTGCCCAACCAATGCTTGTTCAAGGTGTGCATTGACAAGACCACTCAGGCTGCAGGGTGGATTTGGGCTGGAAAGAAGAAATCCAGAGTCAGGAATCCAGTAGAGAGGCTGTTGTGTTGGTCTAGGCAAGAGATGAGGACTGTAGATTGTGGGGATGGAGGAGAACAGAGATGGGAGTCTCCACACTGAAAGCAGGGAGGAAGGTCAACTCACTGGCCACCAGCTCATGGACCTCCCTGCCAGGAAATAGCCTCCAATGGTCCCTCGGCTTGCACGAATGGACGACTGGAAAGGAAAGGATGAGAGATGAGGATTTCTCATGCTTTTCCCCAACATTTGTCCTCAACCCAGATCCCCTACCCCTCAGTGGAGGCAACATGGGTCCATAGTGAGTGAAATGTGGAGCCAAATAGAGCTGGCCAAGAATGTAGGTTTCACCATTTTAAAGCTGTGCACCTTTGAGAGAGTCACTTTCCATCTCTGAGCTTTAGCTCTCATCTTCCAGGGCTGGTGTGAAGAACAAAGGAGCTAAAGGGTACAGAACGACTTCATACACGACAAAGTGCTGTGCAAGGGTATGAGATTATTATGCTTGTACACTCTTGTCCTCTTATCTTTCCTTTCTTCCAAAACCTGCTTTTGGGAGATGATTTGACATCTCATTCTCAAGCATATAGTGGCTTACAGGGAGACTGCCCTCTCCTCTGCTCTCCCCTCTCTCCTCCTCTGAGAGGACTCCTACACCTGGAGGCAGGGGGACAGAGTGGGCTATAGTCCTGACTGTGGATCTTTGGGTACCAGGAGGAGTGGGAGGCTCTGTTTTGGGGCTTCTGTTGCCCTGGCCTGAGGCCAGACCACATCACTTATCCCCACTCAGGACCCGGAGTGCACCCCTGTCCTACTTCAGCAGGTGGTCAGTTATGGGCCTATTTGAGGAACTGATCTGAAGAGAACTGAACGAAAGGAGAGTGGGGATTGAAAGGAGCTTCTCTGGGGCACAGGGGCAATGGGGAAGGAAAGACAAACACAAAGCAGTTATTAAGATGCTGAAGCCGACAGGTCTCTGATTGGGTCTGGAGACAAGAGTATTACTTGAAGCAGAGGAAGGAAAAGGGGAAATTTATCAAGAAGCTTCTTTTCCCTAAGGGAAGATGGTCACTGTTGTTGTGAGGTGCTGTCGAGTCAATTCTGACTCATAGTGACCTCAAGTACAACGGAATGAAACGCTGCCTAGGGGGGTTGCCAAGACTTTAGTTATGAGTGGGTGAGAAGTCTGGGTAGGACCTGGTGCTCACTCAGCTTTTACTCAAACTTCTGGTGTTGCCTCTGATTCTCTGGGAGGCCGGAAGAGCAGAAAGGATGCTATTTTATACATGAGGGAGTCGAGGCCCAAAGAGGGAGCACAGCTTGTCCAAAGTCACAGATGGGCTGGTATTTTTCACAGCCTGCTGCCTCCAAGGAGACAGTCACCATCTGTGTCCATTTCTTTCTCACACCACCCTTAGGAGGCAGGGATTACTCACCCCACTCTACACATGAGGAAATTGAGGCCCAGAGAGGATTCCTGAGTTTGCCACAGCCTCATAAGTGACCAGCTGGGATTTAAGTCACAGTCTGCCTCACAGCAGAGTCTAAAGGTGCTGGAATTTCTCCTGAATGCTATGGTTATGATAGCAGCCATTTATTGCCTACCAACCGTGTGCCGGGCACCAAGCCAGGTGCATAGATGCATTATGTCAGCAAATGGTCACAACGGTTCCACAACATAGTCCCTATCATTTTCATTGTTCAGATGAGAGAACACTGAGGCTCAGAGAGGTTTAGTATATTCCCAAGGTCATGCAGCTGCAAACTGCCTGCCCCTTTCCCACTGCACCAAGGCTGGTGTGGACAATGGAGACAGAAGGACCTTGGGGTTTGCCTGGCTCCTTTCCTTATGAACACAGTAGCCCCAATTCTTTTAGAAAGCATAGCTCCTAGGCAAGAAACTAACAAGTGGAGGATTGGGCTAGGGCAAGGAGTCAAGTGTTGGCAGGGATGGGAATCTTGGGATGGGGAAGAGGGCTCAGGGCCAGCCAGGGATGTCTGGGGGTCAAAGAGCGAAGTTGCATAGAGCCAGGGAGTCAGTAGACTGGAGCATCAGGCCTGGCCCTGCCTCTGGCTTGCTGTGTGACATTGGGAAAGTTATTCCCCCTCTCTGGGCCTCAGTCTTTCCGTCTATAAAAGGAGGAAGTTGGAGGGGATGATTCCTGAAGGCCCTTCCATCTCAGATCCCCTGTGGTTCTGTGATCTGCCTTCCTGTTCGGCTGACCCCTGCTCCCAGCTCCACTATCGAGCCAGGGATGACAATTTGCTTCTGCCCTCCCAACCCCCCACCAGGCCCCAAACTCCATGCTTACTCACCCAGATGCCCACAATGATGACGAAGACAAAGTAGATAACCACGACTGTGATGTCATAGATGTGCAGGCTGACCCCAGAGTCTGGTGCTGAGCGTGGCACTCTCTCAGCCCTGTCCCTGTGCCCCAAAGCTCCAGGCCCCATTGCTGCCAGCCCCATGCTCATCTGTTAATATCAGTCACCACCAGGCTGGACTTTGAGGTGCTCCTGGATTCATTCCTTTCCTTTAATGATTAAACAGTGCCAAGCACTATTAGTCTCTGGGAAACCTCTGAGTTCCACTGGCACGTAAAGTCTTGGCCACCCGCCTTCCCCTAAGTGCCACCCCCCACCCTCTACAAGACTACCCCCCCAGCTGTCACATGACCATACATGCACAGATATACACACACATGCACGTATATGCACACACACACATATATGCACACACCCTCCCTCCTCCCTCCAAGGAGCAGGAGGATCAGGAGCAAAGGAGCAGAGTCTCAGACTCCCAGAGCTAGGAAGGACCTCAGAAAAAGGTGGTCAAGCTCCTGCTTGTGTGGAGGGGAAATTGAGGCCCAGGGAAGAAAAGGTCACACAGAAAGGTAAAGGTGAAGCTGGAACCGAAGTCAGGCTTCTTAATAGTTCATGACTTTTCCTTACAGCCTTGTGGGAGGGAAGCAGGGAGGTGGGGGAGGGGGAGCCTACTAACACCCTTTCCAAGCTGTTGTACCATGTCCTGTACCCCTACCTCCAACCCACTGAGGTGTCATTTTCCTTTTATTTACAGTGTTGAAACCTGAGGCCCAGGAAGGAAAAATGATTTATTCTGAGGAGCAGAGCAGAGACATCTGTGACAAAGCAGGGCCAAAATTCACATCTTCTTATGCATGGCCCAAGAGTCCCTGGGAAGCACAAATGGTTAAGCACTCGGTTACTAAAAAAAAGTTGGTGGTTCAAGTCCACCCCTGGGAAGAAAGGCCTGGAGACCTACTTTTGAAAAATCAGCCATTGAAAACCCTATGGAACACAGTTCTACTCTAACACATGTGAGGTCACCCTGAGTTAGAACTGACTTTAAGGCAACTTTTTTTTTTTGGTGGCCATATACATGCTAAACATATATCTGTTCATAATTTCTACATTTCTTCACTGAACTATAGTTCAATGACATTGGTTATATACTTCACATTGTATCACCTTTCTCACTATCTCTACCCATATTGTTACCAAAACTAGAACCAAACTCGTCATCAAGTTGATCCCGACTCATAACGACCCTATAGGACGGAGTAGAACTGCTCCATAGGGTTTCCAAGGAGTGCCTGGTGGATTCAAATTGCTGACCTTTTGGTTAGCAGCCGAGCTCTTAACCATTATGCCACCAGGGCTCGAATATTCCTATATCACTGTTAACTTAGACTGTCTTCCCCTTAAAGTTCTTATTTGTGCTTTAGATTAACTGTTGTCAGATTAAACTCATATAGATAATTCTTTATACACACAATTCTCAAGGCAAACATTCTTTATCAATTGATCTAAATTGTTGTTTAGTTTAATGATGGCTTCATAGGATAGTTTTGGTTCAAGTTTTAAAGATCATTCCTGGGCAATAGATTCAGGGGATCTAGTAAATCCAATTTCCATATGAATTTAAAGTTCTGTTTTCTTTTATTTTTGTTGGTTGTTGTTTGTTTATTTTGCTTTGATCCCTGATCTAGACTTCCTTTGCTTTCACTGTGATGAATGGAAGGGTTGGGGTAAGGAGACCTCCCCCGAAAAGTGCACAGAAATCTGGCCCCGGGAAAAATGTTGTCCAGGGACTCAGGCAGCCTGGTTTCTAGTCCCAGCTGCACCGCTAAGTAAATTGCAGAGTGACCTTAGGCAGGTTGTTAAATGTCTCTGGGCCGGGGTGTCCTTGTCAGTGTGACCTATGCCCTGCCTGCCTCATAATGGCAGTGAGGATGGGATGTGCTCCTCAAGACCCTTTGCAAACTGTGAGTTACTGTGTGCTCTTGAGGTTCACACAGAGAAACCCACACTGGCATGATCTGGCTTGAGGGCCCAGATGCCAGGTGCACAGCCGTGCCCGCTCCTATGGTCCTTCTGAAATGGCTGCACTTGAGACATCTCATTCATATGAGTATCTGCTCTGCCTTCACCTGCTGCACACACAGGCCAAGGCCGAGGCTGAAGAAGCCCTGGGTAAAAGGGCCCAGATGGCCCTGCCATCTCCTAGCATTCTGTGGGTGGGAGCCAGGTTCTCTTCCTTTCCCTCTTTGGGGAAAGAAAGTGAAAGGCAGGACCTGGTCCCCTTGGCCCGCCTGGGGCCCAGAACACCAAGCGCCAGCCATGCTGAGCCCTGAGGAGAGCCTGTGCTGGGAGGAAGTTTAGGGTAACCTGCAGCGAGGCCAGGGCTCAGCCAGGAACGAGGGTCCGTTAGGGTTAGACACCCGTGGGGCAGAGATGTGGATCAAAGTCTGTATAGAGGAAGTTTCATTCACGTCCATATTTAAAGGTGAATGAGATATACAAGAGGGATGTGGGATAAACAAGAGGGCAAGGGAAGCAGGACCAGCATTAGCAACATCAGGGAACTGTGAAAGACCAGATGCAGGAGAAGCTCACCCTGACGGTCCCTCAGAGCTATGTGGGACATGAGCCTAGCAGATCCTTGGGTGTTAGTCAGGGAGGGGAGAAGAGAAGGTCTGAGCTCGGGACACGTAAAGCACCACTGGGAGGGCTTCTGAGTCCCAGGATCACTCTGTCAGAGTGGGGAAGATCCTGCATCCTGCACTTCTTTCTACCCTCCCCACAGGGAAGGGCCCACACCCTGGCCCTTGGGGTTCTACTGCCTACAAGGCCTGTCTCCCGACCATCCTCTCAAAGATGCCTGAGGCCGAGCCCTAATCCCTGCTTGTTTTACCTAATCGTAAACCAGCAGATTTGGGCTCATAGCAACCACTCCTAAAATGTGGCTACCACACACCTGTTACCTACCCAGGCAACTTAGCAACCCAGAACCCAGCAGAATGCCAGGAAGGGAGCATAAGAGGTTTTGAAACAGCCAGGATAGATATTCTAAAGCCTACGCACAGTGCCTGAATCTTTGATTTATCAGTAACCCCCTGTGACCCCCACCAGGATCTGTTTATTTTTGCTTTACACAGAAGTATAATAATCTTTGTTATTTCTCTTTCCCAGCTCACAACAAATTAGGAACAACTAATTAGGAGAGGAGAGAGAGGCTGCCCAGGGACAGCAGTAAGAATAGCAGCTGATGGGTTGACAGGACGCGAGTTGTCCTTAACACTAGGTAAAGCAGAGAAGACAATGCAACAACAACAACAGCAACAAAAACCTAGAACCTGATTCCGACTTGTCGTGACCCTACAGGACAGAGTAGAGCTGCCTCATAGGGTTTCCAAGGAGTGGCTGGTGGATTCGAGCTGCCGACCTTTTGATTAGCAGCTGAGCTCTTAACCACTGCACCACCAGGGCTCCAAGACACTGCAAAGGGCACACCAAATGGGAGTGTTTTGAAGTGGGGGCAAACAGGTCAACTCTCCACCATGGGCCTTGTTGAATAGCAGCAGAGAATTCATATGCATATCAATGACCCCAGGTCACTGAGAGAAGATTACCTTATGACCAGTGACTTCTGTTTAAGAAGGCATGGAATATGAAATCCAGGCAGGAAGAGTTCCATTCAAAATGGTTTAATATTCTAGACAGGTGCTGGTGTTCAATGATGAGGCCTCTGTTATCCAGAGAACTCCCCAGGGTGGAAGTTTGACTCATGCTGTCATTCTTACAATAAATGAACACTCACTGTGCGCCAGGCACTGTGCGAGACACTGGGGGTACAAGGACGTATGCAATCGATCATGGCCTTGTGGGAAAGGCAGACTGCTATATAGGATGGTGCCTACAGCAGAAAGAGGGTAACCATCTGCCCATGTGCTGAAGAGCTCAGAGGAAGGAGCAGCAAAGTTCAGGTGAGAGATTGGGCAGGGTTTACGGGTAATGGAGGGTGGTTTGAACCAGGCCTTATACAATATAGAAGTGTAACAGGATGTGAAATGAAAGTTTCCACTGAGCCACTGTCATGGATTGAATTGTGTTCCCCAAAAATGTCTATCAGCTTGGCTGGGTCATGATTCCCAGTATTGTATGATTGCATAATCTGATGTGATTTCCTTATATGTTGTAAACTCTATCACTATGATGAGGTTATACTGATGATGTTTACAAGATTGGATAGTGTCTTAAGCCAATCTCTTTTGAGATATAAAAGAGAGAAGTGAGCAGAGACACAGGGGAACTTCATACCACCAAGAAAGCAGTGTCGGGAGTGGAGCATGTCCTTTGGACCTGGTGTTCCTGCGCGGAAGAGCTCCCAGACCAAGGGAAGATTGATGACACGGACCTTCCTCCAGAGCCAACAGAGAAAGCGTTCCCCTGGAGCTGACACCCTGAATTTGGACTTGTAGCCTACTGGACTGTGGAAGAGTGAACTTCTCTTTGTTAAAGCTTGTGGTATTTCTGTTAGAGCAGCACTAGATGACTAAGACAGCCACCAAGATACAATACACATAAAAGTAATAAAATTAAGGGGCAGATTTGCAAAGATAATACAAAGAACTGGCTTTACAGCTCTAAAGACTCTATGAGGAAGATAAAACAGGATTTTGAGGATATTTCTTAAGATAAATCTTTGTTGTGTTTTCCTAACAAGATGGAGGAGGGGTTGGTGGCTGCTTGCTCCTATGCCAAGTGTAGTAGCCGTTAGAAGAGCTTTGGGCAGGGTATATTGGAGAGCTTGTTAAGTATCTCCTTCAGTTGGGATAACTGTGGACCGGGGTCTGACTCAAGCCTGAAATATGTAGATGGTAAGAGGTTGTGGCTGACTTGCTGCTGCTTCAGCTGTGGGAGTGGGTGGGATATTGGTTTAGGGTTAGCCTGCACCCCTGGGGTTGGGCAAAGAATGCGTAATTTTTTTTCTTTTTGGTATGTGTGGACTAGATGTGGGCCACATACATGAAAAAGACAGTTAGGGATCTTCTTAGATCCTTTCCAGTAGGCTACCTGGAGGGTGGTGGGGTCACAGGTGACAGAATTTGGAAGTGGCCCACTAAATCCGTAGAGGCTGAGAAAGAACTAGATTGGCAGTAGATTAGGGATGCAGTACCTGAGTCAGGGCTGGGTAGGAGAGGTTCCCCATTTTGAAAGGACCCC